CATCAGTAGTGTCTAGATAGAGTCTTCTAATAGTTATTTACAACATCAGTAGTGTCTAGATAGAGTCTTCTAATAGTTATTTACAGCATCAATAGTGTCTAGATAGAGTCTTCTAATAGTTAGTTACAGCATCAATAGTGTTTAGATAGAGTCTTCTTAATAGTTATTTACAGCATCAGTAGTGTCTAGATAGAGTTTTCTAATAGTTATTTACAGCATCAGTAGTGTCTAGATAGAGTCTTTTAATAGTTATTTACAGCATCATTAGTGTTTAGATAGAGTTTTCTAATAGTTATTTACTGCATCAGTAGTGTCTAGATAGAGTTTTCTAATAGTTATTTACAGCATCAGTAGTGTTTAGATATAGTCGTTTAATAGCTATTTACAACATCAATAGTGTCTAGATTGTTTTCTAATAGTTATTTACAGCATCAGTAGTGTCTAGATAGAGTTTTCTTAATAGTTATTTACAGCATCAGTAGTGTCTAGATAGAGTTTTCTAATAGTTATTTACAGCATCAGTAGTGTCTAGATAGAGTCTTTTAATAGTTATTTACAGCATCATTAGTGTTTAGATAGAGTTTTCTAATAGTTATTTACAACATCAGTAGTGTCTAGATTGCCTTCTAATAGTTATTTACAGCATCAGTAGTGTTTAGATATAGTCGTTTAATAGCTATTTACAACATCAGTAGTGTCTAGATTGTTTTCTAATACTTATTTACCGCATCAATAGTGTTTAGATAGAGTTTTCTAATAGTTATTTACAGCATCAATAGTGTCTAGATTGCCTTCTAATAGTTATTTACAGCATCAATAGTGTTTAGATAGTGTCTTTATATCGTTATTTCCTCCCAGTCACTTTACAGCGAGGAAAGATTTCTTCAGTAAACGATAAACCTTCAGACATCTCTATAAAAAAAAACAATGTGTATGTGTAATCAGTTAGTAGCTTGTATGCTAAACGTACAGAATAGCGTTCAAGAAGCGGTTTAAATGCTTCTTTAGCTGAACTCAAGAAATGTTTCGCTCGTAAAGTCGGTTACAGATAAATATCAAATATCGCGGACTACTTACCTACCAGTACACTACGGGATCGGTTGTGTCGCAAAGTTATACTACAATTGCAGTCGTATAAAGTTACGTTTGCTATATTCACAAACTTAGAGGAACTAAAAAGTTTTGTGAATGTCGAAAACGTCTGAGGTTGATAACTTGAATATGTATGCCTACGAATGCGCATGCCTATACAAAGCCAATCGTTGCTTACAGATCTCGTGTCGAAAAGCGATGACTAGGCTAATACAGTGAACTAACTATTGAAGTATGTCGTTCTTTCTGGTAGTAAGAAAGACAGAATAATAAAGTGAAAATTTCCTTAGAGTAACATCGTTGACGAAAATACGTTTTCATTGACTCTAATAATAGTAATATTTTTATTGAATTAGGAAAAGAATACATTATTTCTTTATGTATATATATATATATAATACAAATTCTATATTAAAAATGTCTTTTCCACTTCTGGTATAACATCAATGATCATTGTTATTATTAAATTCTAATCACTCAGAAAGTACGATGGACGATGGGTATTCTCTAATGAATGTGGGCTCGGCATGGTCAGATGGTTAGGGCGCTCGACTGAGGGTCGCGAGTTCGAACC